GTATTCGTAGTAGTAGTGGTAGTTGTTGTTGTACTAGTAGTAGTCGTCGTCTTATTCGTAGGCGTAGAAGTATAAGTAGTAGTAGTAATAGTAGTAGCAGTAGTAGTAGTAGTAGTGGTAGTACTAGTAGCAGGAATGGTAGTAGCAGTCGTAGATAGGTAATATAAGTAGTGGTAGTAGTAGTAGTAGTAGTAGTAGTAGTAGAAGTAGTAGAAGTAGTAGTAGTAGTAGTACTAACAGTAGTTGTACTAGTAGTAATAGTAGTCGTAGTCGTACTGGAAGTAGTCGTAGTCGTAGTCGTAGTCGTAGTAGTAGTAGTAGTACTAGTAGTAGTAGTAGTAGTAGTAGTAGTAGTAGTAGTAGTAGTAGTAGTAGTAGTTGTAGTAGCAGTAAAGGTAGCAGTAATCGTGGCCTTGGTAGTCTTAGTCGAAGTCTTAGTCGTATAGTCGTAGTAGTCGTAACAATCGTAGTAGTAGTGGTAGTAGTAGCCGTAGCAGTCGTAGTAGTAGGTCGTTGTAGTCGTAGTGATGGTAGTAGTAGAAGTAGTAGTAGTAGTAATAGTAGTAGTAGTAGTAGGTGAAGTAGTAGTAGTAGCAGCAGCAGCAGCAGCAGTAGTAGTAGTAGTAGTAGTAATAGTAGTAATAATAGTACTAGTACTAGTGTTGGTGGTAGTAGTAGTAGTAGTAGTAGTAGTGGTAGTAGTGGTAGTAGTAGTAGTAGTAGTCGTCGTCGCCGTCGTAGTAGTAGTAGTACTAGTAGTCGTAGTCGTAGTCGTAGTCGTCGTAGTAGTAGTAGTAGTAGTAGTAGTAGTAGTAGTAGTAGTAGTAGTAGTAGTAGTAGTAGTCTAGTAGTAGGAGTAGTAGTAGTAGTAGTAGTAGTCGTAGTAGTAGTAGTAGTAGTAGTAGTAGTAGTAGTAGTAGAAGAAGAAGAAGTAGTATGAGTACTAGTAGTAGTAGTAGTAGTAGTAGTAGTAGTAGTAGTAGTAGTAGTAGTAGTAGTAGTAGTAGTAGTAGTAGTAGTAGTAGTGGTAGTAGTAGTAGGAATGGTAGGAGGAGAAGGAGAAGGAGGAGGAGAAGGATATGTGCTTGTACGGTAACCCTGGAGAACAAAAAGAGGAGGAGGAGGGGGAGCCGATCCTCAAGCGACCCGCTGCGACCGCATTCGCTCGCCCACCGATTAGAGGAGGAGGAGGGGGAGGAGGAGGAGGAGGAGGAGGAGGAGGAGGAGGAGGAGGAGAGGGAGGAGGGAGGAGGGAGGAGGGAGGAGGAGGAGGAGGAGGCGAAGGGGGAGGACCAGGACGGGGGGAACCGATCCTGGAGAGGGGCCCGTAGACGAAGATGCTGTACGGGTCCGCAGCCATGGCGCCGCTGCTCCTCCGCCGCCGCATCCTCTTCAGCAGCACGGTGCCCCTTGGCGGCGGCCCGGCCGGGCGGCCCGGGGCGGGCGGGAGGCGCGCCCTCGGCCCCGGGCCCGTGAGGGTGCGGCAAACTCGTGTCTTGCAGGCCGTTGGTTTCTGACACCGCGGGGATCGTTCAACCTTGAACGATCGGCCGTTTCCGAAGCGCCAGATCGTTCAGCGTCGACCGATTCTGGATCGCCGGCCGCGTTCAACGTTGCACGCCGGCGACGGGGTCGCCGCAGGTCGACACGACACGAACCTCCTGTAGACAAGCGCTTGCCACTACTCGCAAAGTAGCTGCTCGCAAATGGCCTGGATCCGCTGCGGGGGATTCACGACATATTGCATCGAGGCGAGCAATTAATTAGTCGGACGTCTGCGAGTAGGCACTTTGCGAGTAGTGGGACGCGCTCGGTGAAGGAGGGGGCGATACGGTCGGACCCAGGACAGAAGAACATCCTTCAAGTTGTGCGCGCATTAATCAGGGATGGACAGAACCCCCTTTAGCAAAACGTGGTTTAGTGAAAACGACCTCGGGCCCAAATCTGGCGGGCGAAAGCCTGGAAACTGACGGCCACGGCGCCCTCTCGAGAACCGAAAACGGACAATTCATTAATCGACGTGTCACTATTGGGGGTTCTGTCCAGCCCCGAATTAATGCGGGGGCGATCAATCGATCAATGGGGGGGGGGGGGGGCGATGGGTGCCCTTTTCGAGCCCTCCAGCCCCCCTCTTGGGCCCCTTCAGGGGCCCTAGAGGGCCCGGTTTCTGCAACTCTCGCTGCCCCTCCAATGATCGCCCTCCGTTACGCGACGCCCGATCAAGAACATGAGACCCTCCGCCAGTCCAAACTGAAGAGCATTCGAGGGTGCCCCCCCCAAGGATGCACAGGAACATCCAATAAGCACGAAGAACATCAGGGTACCCGCCCTGAACCGACCTCGATCTCACACCTCGGCCCGACCGAATGGCGGGACTGGCACAAAGGGGGGAGCCTTGACCCGCAATCGACGATTCGTCGCCGATCGGCAATAGGCCGGCCGCGCTCTCCCTCCACGGCTGCCTAGTCGCCGTTGAAGCCAAACAAATGGCGTCAAAATCGCCTCGCGTCTCGCGTCCGCGCTCTCACGCCGCTGCTCAATCGCGGCGCGCGGGTGCACATGCTGGCGTTGTCGCGCTGTCACCGTCAACCAAATTCGTGCCTCGGCTGTTGACTCCGCGGACGGGACGTCCGTGGGTGGGGTGCGGGGGCTGGACGTCGATGGGCGATGAATGGGCGACCGGGGCTGGAGGCCGCCGAGGGTCTCTGAACTGGTTGAGGCCCAGAAACGCGGCCAGGAGGTGGGATGACGCCAAATCCATTCAGAATCGGTCCCGGGACCCCTCCCGGGGTCCACCTGGTACAGATTCTCGCCCTGGAGCCATTGTTGACGGCCTCGGGGCCCGAAAACAGCCCTCGGAGGCTGAAAGAGGCCCAGACACCCTTCCGCACCCAGGGCCTCGAACCTGCCCGCCCTCCCTGCTCGCCAGAACCCAGTGCTGCGCCACCTCAGCCCTCCAGACGGCTCCAAGACTGGGAGAGTCGATGCCTCCCCCGGGTGCCCGGAGATCCGACGCTGTGAAACAGCTGAAGCGTCGCGCGAGATCACGCCCGGAGCCCCAGACCCCATCCGTGCAAGGCTTTCGGGCTGATCCGCTCCCTCGTACGAGAAGCGTGCCCCGAGAACGGATGCTCGCCATCGCCATGACGGTTTCCTATTCTTCCTATGTTTTTCATACACAACTCCTCCTCCTCCTCCTCCTCCTTAAGAACAAGAGAACGGAGCCCTGGGCCGCAGCCGTCTGCGCCACTCCTCGAGCCGCATCGAGCCGTGAGGGCCCCGGGGCCCGAGCAAGGGGCGGAGACGCCCGTGGCGACAAGAGGCACCGGCAGGGCCAGGGCCCCCGGGCGGGCCAGCCTCCCCCGAGCCGTCGGCCCCGGCTGCTGCCCCCCCCCGTGGTAGGTCGTGCCTCAGCTGCCCCGATGCGCCACGCTTCAGAAGCGCCAAAACGGGCCAAGAGTGCCCCCAAAGAGGCACCCGAGACGGTCTCCGAGAGGGCCCCCGCTCGCCAAGCGATCGGTCCGAAATGGTTCCACGCCCTCCGGACTGCCCAGGAGGCCTCCAAGACGCCCCTAAGAAGCACGCCACTCATGGCGTGTTGACACGGAGCGCAACACGTGGACAGGGAGCACGCAGGCATGACGCGATGCTTTCGCCAGAACGTGGGCCCATACGTAGAACCAGCACGCAACGTATCGACACGGATGTTTTGAGCACGGCACGTGTTGCGTATCAAAACGAGCGTATCGGTGCAGCTACGGGTCGGGCATGTCCTCCTACAGGCGGATTTTGGACGAATAATGGAACTAGCAAACAGCAAATGTCAAACATTGCCCCCAGCCAATACTAGAACGATCGTCCCCTGCACTATTTTTTGGTTTCTTTTCGAATACTCATACCGTAGAGGGACACGCCCGACTCAACCCCAGTGTTAGGTCGGGCATGCCCCCATACAGGGGGATTTTGAACGAATAATCAAAAACACGTCAACACATATGTTATATTTTCCCTGCAGGGAGCTCATATTTTTCCCTGCAGGGAGCTCAAGAGGGCCAGCAGGGCCCCAGGGCCTCGGACGGAGAACGACAACACGACCACCGCGGCACAATGGCCCACGCCACTTGGCCGAACAGCGGTGAAGAACCGAGGCAACGCGCGGCGGCACCGCAAATGCACAGGAATCGGACGGAGGCTGTCCTGCGAACGTGGCCGAAATTCTGGCCGCAGGTTCCAGGAGAAAAGGGGAACGGATGGAAAAAAATAGACATCTGCACAAACGGAGCCAACACGCCAACCTAATTTCTTAAAGTGTTGGTTTGCCCCCTTCTCTGGCACCAAAGATCTACACGATCACCCCAAATCGTATCGGTGAGACGGGGGGGAAGGAGAGGGGGGACAAGAGGAAGGAGGGAGGAGCAGAGGGGGAGGGAAGGAGGAAAAGCAAAGTGCGCTGAGACTGCAATGCGTCCACCTTCGGCTGAAAAAGGATGCAGCATGCTGAAGGCCCTTAGGGTCAAGAGATGGCCGTGTGGTGATCGCAGGCGGCCGGCCAACGGGGACACTGCGGGCTCGTTGGCGACCCCCTGGTCAAGGAGCGGTCGGCGAGACCGGGGGGCCCTCCACTGGCCACCTCCGCGTGCACCGGCGCCAATGCAAATTATCGCACGGAGGGCGAACTCCGCGCCACCTCTGGGGAGGTGAGCCGAGAGGGAGGGGAAAGAAGGAGGGCGAAAAGCTTCGCCTGCAAAAACTACGAGCCGCATCATTCGGGGGGGGGCCGAGGACGAGACGGGCAGAGGAGGCGGAGAACCAACCCGCCCCGGCAGGGTTCGCTGGCGCACCGCCTCTGGAGGCGAGAGCGGGAGGAAAGAGACGAGGGGGAAGGATGCACGAGGAACCGCGGGACATCTTTGAACCCCATCCCGCTCCATATCGGGCCAAATTGTGACGCAAGCGGCTACGCGGCTGGGACATCAGACGGCCCGCGCGGGAGCCAAAGTCAACAGGCTGGCATCCCCAAAATCTACCGCCTGAGACGGGACGAAGCGGAGGAGGGGGGAGAAGGGGAGGAGGGGAGAGCGAGAAGATGCAACCCTTCTGATTGCCCTGAATCCGGCGGGCCATGCGCTACCACGAACCCCCCGCGCCAAAGCAGGGGCGCGAGAAAGACTAAATTCAAAAGACAAGCGACCGTCATGAACTTCGTGCTGCCTCCTGGAGGGCCATGCGAAAGGCTCCGCCCACGTTGGCCAAGGCGAAAAATCCAGTGCGGCGCGCGTTGTGGACCCCATACAATGCGTAAGTAGCCAACGCGCGCTGCCTCGCCTCCCCCTCCGACCCTGAGAGTCCGAGGAAGAGGTTCAAAGCGTCAGCAGACGTCGTCCTGGCGAGACCGGCGCGCGTTTGGAACAGTCGGCGCACTGCTGGACAGCGCGCAAAATGGGCAACGCTGTCCTCATGCCCGTCGCATCCGAAAAGACAGGCTCCACCCCCTTGTAACTGGCAGCGCGTGCGCCACCCATCGCACGCCAATCGCACATTGGCGGCCTGCACTCGTCGCGCGCAGCACCCGGCCAGCTGCCGCATTCGGGCCAAGACCCGAGCGAGCCTTCGCCCAGGCAAGGTCGCGGCAGGCCAACGAGCCAGCCGTCGTCGGAGATGCCGGAAGGCGCGTTCCCCGGGCGGCGCCTGAGCCAGGGCGGCCGCGCGGCGCCGCCAACCCGACTTCTCGTTCAGCCGGCGCTCGCCGGGCGGCACGCTCCGAAGTAGAAGTGCGACCTGGTCATCGGTGGCGTCGGGTTGCAGCGAGAAGACTCGCGGCTGCCACTCCTCTAGCCAAGCCGCGCGAATGACAGAACGCCCCCCGTCGTGGTTCGTCAGGGCGCGCAGCCGCCTGGCCCGCCGGCGCACCTCGAGGGCGCCCCCGGCTTGGGACCTGACCGCCCGCGCCCCGCCAGTGCAATGGCCTCCAGGTCCTCGAACTGCCAGGGCACACCGAGCGACTTGAGGTCCTTCAGGCAGCCTAAGGCCATCCATCCCACCGGTCCGTGGAACATGGCACAGCACGCGCGGCCTTCGAACTCTGCGAGATCTGGCGGGAGCGGATCCACTTGGGCGACGAAGAGCAGCGCGGATGCCAGCTTGCGGGTCTCCTCGTCGTAAGCCGAGAGATCGGCCCACAGGGAGTCGTCGGTGATGCAGGCCTCGTGCGCCCGCGGGACCCCTTCGGGAGATGCAGAACTTGACCTTGACCGCCTCCTGTGCCTTGGCGCAGACAACCTGCGCCTTGACCGGGTGGAGCGCCGCCTGCTGCTGCTGCTCGTCGAGTGCGGCGAACCAGCCCTTGGCGTTGGCGACGTCCTCCACGAGCTTGTGGAAGCGAGCTTTGCGATTGCAGATGATGGCCAGCGCGGACTGCAGCGCCTGCTCCTCCGACTTGGTGGCGGCTGGAGGAGCGGGCTTGAGCACTGCCTGCAGAGGAGCGAGCAGCTGCCGATGAGGCTGGCCAGCGAGTCGAAGACCTGGTCCGTCGTGAGAGGCTTCTGATGCTGCTGCTGCCAACGGGTTGACGCGTCTGCCCAAGCACCAGCAGGCTGCCGATGCTCACCTGGTGTCGGAGCAAGGGGCTTGCCACAATGGAAGCAATCCGGCTTCCCCTTCCACGTCCACCGGTATCGACACTGCTTGCAGACCGTGTGCCACTTCAGCCAAGTCGAGCGTGGGACTGTGGTCGCGCCCCTTGTCGCCGCCCTTGTCCCCCTTGCCAGCTGCCGCCGCCGAGCGTCGAGCGCCCTTGCCGCCGCTGGCGACGGCCACCATGGTACTGATTTTCTCGCGACAAGCGAGGACGAATGGATATGGAAGTGGGCGGCAGCTCGCCCCTGGGCTTGCTGCAGGAACGCGGAAGCACTGGATGGGAGCCTACCCCGCTGAGGTAGTGATGGATGCGCCATGTGTCCTTGAGCCAAAATGGCAACGGAGGAGCAGTAGGAGGAGGAGGAGGAGGAGGAGGAAAAGGAGGAGGAGGAGCAGGAGGAGGATCAGAAGGAGGAGGAGGAACAGCAGGAGGAGGGGGAGGAGGAGGAGGAGGAGGAGGAGGAGGAGGAGGAGGAGGAGGAGGAGGAGGAGGAGGAGGAGGAGAGGGGAGGGGGGACAGAAGGAGGAGGAGGAGGAAAAAGAGGAGGAGAAGGAAAAAGAGGAGGAGGCGGAGGCGGAGGAGCAGGAGGAGGAGGAGGAGGAAGAGGAAGATGAGGATGAAGAACAAAAAGGGAGGGGCCCAGAGGAGAGGAGGGAAACGGAGGGGCCTGGAGGAGAGGAGAGAGACAGAGACAGAGGGACGGAAAGAGACAGAAAGAGACAGAGATAGGGAGAGAGGGAAAGAGAGAGAGAGAGAGAGACAAATAAACCAACCAAACAATCAACACACTGGCAAATGGCCATCACACAGCAAGCGCAACACCACTTGCACCGTGTATGCGCGTGTGCATGTGCGTGTGCGTGTGCGTGTGCGTCTGTGTGTGTTTTTGTGTGCGTGTGTTTTTGTGTGTGGGAGTGAGAGAGAGTGTGTGTGTGTGTGTGTGTGTTTACAGGTGTGTGTAGATGTAAGGAATAGGTTTGAGCACACGCATCCACATACATGATGTGTGAACGAATATAATGATATCGAGTCGTCGCCACCGAGAATGCTCGGCTGGCTCCGTGGTTGGACTTGCCGCAGGCAGCTTGATAAGTTTGTGTGTGTGCGAAGACAATGACTATGTAACATAATCCCGAGATGCACAGAGATAATATATATATATAGAGAGAGAGAGAGAGAGAGAGAGAGAGAGAGAGAGAGAGAGAGAGAGAGACAGAAAGAGAGAGAGAGAGAAGGAGACATAACTAACCATAGACAGAGAGAGAGAACACGATAGAGGTAGAGGTGGCACGAGACAAGACGAGACGAGAGGATTTATAACGAGACGAGACGCGACGTCTCCGAAGGCGAAGCCTGGCCTGCGCACGTACACGGGCACGCGGCCCGGGTGCAGCGCCACCGCCGACTCGGCGCCGCCCACGGTCACCCCCGCGTGCGGCTCCCAGTAGTCGTACCAATCGCCCTGCCCCCGGCCAGCACGGCGCCCCCCCGCCCCGCCGATCTCAGGGATCGACCTAAACAGACTGTTTTTCGCTGCCGCTCCGTCTTCGTCTTCCCCCGCCTTGTCTTCCACCCGCCTGCGCTGCAACGCGACATCGAAAGGACAAAACGGCCATCGAAATCGCCAACGCACCGCCTGGGCCGACCCCTGGCCGAAATCTCTGAGGGCCTCCAGTGGGCCTCTTGGGGGCCTCTCGGAGGCCTGTTGGCCTCTCCTGGAGGCGTCTGGGGCGCGCTCAGGGCCATTTTTGGGCATCTTGGGGGCCTCTGGGGGCCTCCGGGGAGGCTCTTGGGGGCCTCTTTGGGGCCTCTTGGGGCCTCGCGGGGCCCTCTTGGGGACCGCTGGGCTCGCTTAGGTAGTCTTGAAGCTCTGTCGGGGCTCTCCTGGAACCGTCTTGGGCGGCTGCTGGGCCATCTTGGGGCTCTCCTGGGCCGTCTTGGGACGATTTTGGGGATCTCTTGGGCCGTGTTGGGGCGGTCTTGGGGGCCTCTTCGGCCGTCTGGGAGCGGTTTTGGGAGACTCTTGGACGGCCTTGGAGCGTCGGAACCTCGAAAAAGCGAGAAGGCCAAAAACATAGAAAAAAATACAAATCAACGATTTTGGCTTGTCGGGGCTCTCTTGGCAGGCCTCTTGGGATGCCTTCGGGGCCTCGTGGAGCTCTCTTGGAACGTCTTCGGGCCTTCCTGGCCATTTCTGAGGCTATTTATGCGCGTCTTGGAGCGCTCGCGGGCCATCTTGGGCGGTCTCGAACCGTTCCTGGCGGTCCCAGGGGCCCTCCGGGACGATTCGGACGTTCCCGGGGGCGCCCTGCACCCCCCATGGAGATTACTGGCAGCGCCCCGGGCCGCCCCCGGGCCCTACTCCGATATGTATGTATGTATATATATATATATATATATATATATATATATATATATCTTCTCCTAGGTTTGGGAACTCCCACGACCCCCTGAATACCGCGGAGTGGCGACAGCCTCAGAAGACGATGTAGTGGGATGCCTGTCCTTGTGCTGTTTTCACCACGGTCGCTCGAATCAGAACGTTTTGCACCTGGTCGCATTTCTGGGCCCTCGCCCTTCAAGAAATCGAACAGACAGGCGAGCCAGTAGCAATACACAAGAGCGCTCTGCTATTTAAAGGGAGTGGTGGGCGGGCCACACAGCTACGGAACAAAGAAGGGATCGCACCGTTCTATCAAACTTCAGAAGAAACGCGTGCTGGCACTGATTATCTTCTCCTAGGTTTGGGAACTCCCACGACCCCCTGGATACCGCGGAGTGGCGACAGCCTCAGAAGACGATGTAGTGGGATGACTGTTTTTGTGCTGTTTTCACCACGGTCGCTCGAATCAGAACGTTTTGCACCTGGTCGCATTTCTGGGCCCTCGCCCTTCAAGAAATCGAACAGACAGGCGAGCCAGTAGCAATACACAAGAGCATAATGCAATCTGGTACTCTGGGTTCGGGTGGGAGGGTTATACCAGCAACTTAGACATATTCTTGGTGAGCAGCGAGGCGTTGCTGGCATCAACTGCTGCTGACATTCGGGAACACAACCGCCATGGATAGGGTTCCGCGATTCTGGTCCAAAAAATCCCCTTCTCATTTTTGCCTTCCAGGGTTTGATGGGCTCGGTGAGTGCGGCAGCATATCCCATTAACTGATGTGCACTGGCGAACCACACGAGACAAGTCGAGATGTGTGGTCATCAAACGTGTTCTCTTCCTCCAAGGCTTACCATCCATGCAAAAATCTGTGTAATCAGAGCGCGCATCCTTACGTGCGATCAGCTTCGCGAATTGAGGGAGGCACCACAAGGTAGAAATGTGCGGATTCTCCAACGAGCACGGGACACGTCGGAGGCGACAGCGCTCAAAAGCACGAGCGGAGAAGTCGGCTAACTGGTTGCCAACCTTCACTTCGTCGCTGTCGGCTGCTGATAGAAGCCCGTCAAGCCCTCGGGGATGGTCTGAACTGCGCAGAACGCCTGGGCCGTCACAACGGCCCCGGGCGCGAGAGAAAGTACAACACGGCGTGCCAAGATGCGCAGCCCAGATCGCCCCTGAGTTGAGGAGCTGGAAAAACAACTTGACGAGATGTGGATTCGTGGCGTCACTTTGGGGCCCGTGAATCACATCAACTTCAATCACTACGTATCCTCGCTCGCGCATTGCTGAAGACCACATGCCTGAGCCCGGGAAGAACTCCACTGCCACTCGAGGTAGACGACGCTGTCCAGCACTCACGGCAGCTCTAAGAGATTCGAACGCTTCAAAAGGACATCTCCGATTTTCTTCCAGGCGGCGTCGCAGAAAGCCCGCGCCGCGACAAGCAGCGCGGCGATCTGCTCGTTGATGCGGTTCTGCTTGCCGTAGCGTCTGACGGAAGAGGCCGCCGACCAGCGGCCGCGAGCCTTGACCTCGGCCCGGCGGCGGATCCGCTGGGCCAGGTCGTAGCTCGGACCTGCGTGGCGGAGCTGGTGCGCCACCGGAGGCTCGGGAAGACCAAGCCGCTCGCCCGCCATCTTGAAGACAGTGAGGAACGAGCGGCTGTCGAGGTCGCCCACTACCAGCCCGTTGAGGCGGCCCTCCCGCTTTGCCTTGGCATGCATCACCGACATCACCTGATTGAGGAAACTGAGATGCTTGTCCGCGTCGATCGAGATGTTCTCGTCGAGCTCCTCTGCCTTGGACTGGACGCCGTCCTCCCGAGGGTGCAGCGTCAGGCACCGCCCGTCGGTCCCTCCTCGGCCTGCCCCGCACGGCGGGGACCAGTACCTCCACTTCATGCGCATAGACTCCGATGGCCTGAGGTAGAGGTGGAAGGCAGCCGCGAGGCCGCCGGAGAGAGCTTGCTGAAGCCCACCAGCGCTCGGGCAGTCTCGGGTAGGGACTGGCCCCCCTGGCGACCAAACTGCGGGAGTTTCCATCGGATAGCCGCCACCAAGGTGTTCGCCACGCCACTCAACTCCCCCTCGAGGTAGAGCACGTCGAGGTGGAACTTCAGCTTCTGGTTCAGCGCCTTGGGCACACGAGCCAGCGCGTAGAGGTCCCTGATACTCTGATCCGTCACGCATCGGTCGAGCGCTGCCTTGTACTGCTGCTGCACTGTCCGAGAGACGCCCCCCTGCTCGAGGACGGGGCGGCTCATGGCCTGGAGGCTCCCTCTCTCGATGCCGTGCAGGGTGCGCCTGGCCTTCTTGCGCTCCTCCGCGTCGGGGTGCGACTTGCTGGTCTCGATGGCCGTCCTGCTGGGCTGAGCCGCCGCCGGGCGCTTCCGCGCTGGCCGGCGGCGCCGCGCGGCGGGCGCGGGAGAGCCCCTCGCCAGGATCGGGCCCTCGAGCACGTGGGCCCTTGCCGCCTCGCGAGCGCTGCCAAGCGGCGGCGAGGGCGTCGAGGGCATTGGACCAGGGCTCGAGCTCCGACCTGTTCCTCGAGGGAGGATCGCCTGGGTTGAGCTCGGAGACGACCCAGCGGAGATCCGCCGTAACATCAGCTCTGAGGGCCACTGCGCAGAATTGCCGGACAGGTCGCACGAGGCCTGGAGCCGAGGTGCGGCCCTTGAGCAGAGCTAAGATAGAGACCATGCTGTCACTGATGATCAAGAATCTGCGAGACCTGTTCGACGCGGATTTTGTTAGATGCCGAATGCACCAAACCAAAGTGCGGCACTCCAGGGCTGTGATGTGCTCTCGGCGCTCCTATTTCTTGCGATGCAGGATCCTCCGAGAGCCCCCCGAGAGCCCACGACTTTCGCCTTCCCCCGAGATCGGTAGGTTGGGCACGAGCCCCTCGTCCGCGAAGCTCAACTCCAAGAACTCACCTGAAGGCAGCGCCCCGCCGAGAGCCTCCTCCAGCGCCCCCGCCCTGGCAGATCCCGAGGCCCCCTGCGCCGCCAGCGCTCCGAGTACTGCGAGAGGTCCCGAATCATCCCCAAGGAGAGGGTCCTGTGCGAGACCCCATTTCCCCCACATCGAGGCGTCGCAGGCCAGGGCCCTGGGACTGAAAGGCTCGGCCAGATCATGGACGAGGAGAGGCAACAAAGACTGGGTCCAGCGGAGCTTCCTGACGACCGACGGCCAGCGCGGAGCCGAGTCCTCCGGGTGCTTCGCCACGAAAGCGTACACCGCGTTGAGGCAGCAGAGGGTTTCTCTTTTCACCAGCGCCATAGAGACAAAGTGTCCGACAAGCCGAGAAAGCTGACGCCCAGTCCCCTGGCGGCGCTCAAGTGCGTGAAAAAGTGCAAGTCATATGCGCCATGCACGGCGTCGCTTCGGCACAGTGCACCTATCATCTCGACGGAATTCCCAACCCAAGGCCTCGAGAACATCTGGATCAAACCTTTTATCGTGAACGATGAAACCCCTCTCCTCCATGATGCTGTTGATTTTTGTTTGGATGGACCTCCCCTTGTCCACCTCGGTACTTATGGTAATGATGTTGTCCACATAAGGTATAACCGCTCCCTCCTCCAACTTCGGAATGACCTCCCGATCCGTGATCAGGAAGTGGTGCCTATCTGGGATCGCCTCCTGGATCATAGAAGTGACAACATACTGACAGACATTGACAGCGTGCGACCACCCCACAGGTACTGCCCTGAACCGTGGGTAAACGCGAGTAGCAGGATCCACCGGGACCCCAGACACCTCCGAGATCTGCAAGTCCTTGGCACTGAGGGGTCCATGGTGAAATACCTCCTAAGGGGGTCGGGGAGTTCCAAAGTGTAAAAAGCATCCTTCAAATCCGAGGAAAACGTATGCAACTGACTTTCCCCCTGGAGCCTCAACCTCGAAAAAGCGTTGGCCGTGGGGAGGTCGGGCGACTCGGGGACCTCAAAACTACAATTAGAAATCCGAGCGTCCAGGATGAGGCGTTGCTTCACCCCGTCCGACTTCCAAACCGCAAAAATCCCCGTTCGGACTCCATCCGTTAAACTGAACTCGACGAGCCCCGCGGCCTGAAGGCGAGCCACGAGACACTTGTACACCCTTTTAGAACGCAGACGTGGGTCACTGCACGGCCTGACCAGACCAGCTTCCTCACGATTTCGCTGCTGCAGCTCCTTAGGCAAAACTATATCACATGAAATCCTCCTGATGAACTCAGCGCCGCGGGCCCCCAAATGGTCGCCCAGGGGCCGCGGCTGGAAACCTGGCTGTGGGAGTGACAGCTTGTCCACATCAAGAGGAGCCAGGTGGCACGGAATCCCAGCATAGCCTTCGGCCCCCTGGAGCTCACTGAAGGCCCCCCGAGGATCAAGCCCCTCTGGTGGGCAGCCCATGCGCCGCACCCGAGAAGTTAAAAAAGTACGCCCAGCAGGCGATAGAAGCGAGGCCTGGCCCTCAGCCGGCTCAGGAAGGCCATCGCCTCGCTCGAGCTCCGCGAGTGCACGGCCAAGGGCAGCAACCTTCTCGACAACGTGCCCCCTTCTCCTGAAGCGCCGCTGGACCGCCCGGCACCCTCGAAGCTGCGAAGCCCCAAGAGCAGGATCAACCACCTTCGCTGCCGCGTCACTGGCTGACATGACGCGGCCCCCCTCCCGCGAAGCCGGCCAGGCGCGAGGGGAAGCATGGCCAACGCTCATCATCATCCTCGCCGCCGCAAGGCGCGCTCCTCACGCGCCTTGCGGGATTGCTTATCAATTGCACTCTGCCGCTCCAGCTCCTTCGACGTGTGCGTGATCAGCTCAGGGGCAATCATGAGGTTGCCCTGACTCTGGTGGACCCCCAGCATGACCGTCTGCTCCTCCATGTCCACTCCCGTCTTGGAGCTGGTCGCACCCTCCTGACGGGTACGCTCTCGATGATAGTACTCGATCAGCTGGGCCGAGCGCAGCAAGTACTCTATCGATGCCAAGTTGACCAGATCGAGTTGGTCGTACTCCGCGCCTGTCTGCACCGTGCGCAGCACCGCCTCGTGGAACGAAGCCCCGTAGTCGTCGCTGTTCAGCTTGGCCGTGGACTTCCACCACTCGTGATGCGCTAGGGGCCCGTTCCTCCGACGTAGGAAGTCCAGGCACCAGCGCGTGGTTCTCGGGCCTGGGATGTGCGTCTCCCAGTCTGAGAAGCTCACGAGCTCCATCTTCTCGACCGCGTCGCTGAAGTCCCGCTTGCGCTGGCCCGCAACGCTCTTGATAGGTGAGGTCCGCGCGTCGCCTTCGTCCTCCGTCTCGATGCGGAACTTCTTCCGGGCATCTGACGCAGAAGACCCGCTTCTCCACGCCATCGTGCACATAGAAGTGGACCGCCCTGTCGCCGCTGATGACCGCGTCGTCGGTGAGGCGAACGAGGCTACCCCCCTTGATGCCAGGCGCCTCCTCGATAGCATACCACTGGTCGGCATTGCCAGCGGGAGCGCCTCCACCACGAGCAGCCTCGGAGCGGGCCAGCAGCCTGGCCTCCTCACGAAGGCCCTGCAAGTGAGCTCCCTCCGGCTCATGGCGGAACCGATAGACGTCCTGCGGGTCGACGCCGTGGGGCCCCCCACCGCGACGATCGGTCAGACGGAAGCCCTCGATGTCCTCGTTGTGGCGGCTGAAATCCTCCATGTACACGTCACTGTCAGGCGTGGCGATGATCCAGTCAGTCGCCGAATCGCCCACCTTCTCCAGTAAAAGTCTTTCGTGCCATATGGGATGACCCGCGTACTTCACGAACACTCTCGAGCCCCGCTCCATGGTGCTTGGCTGGCTTCACAACCTGAGGCTGCACGCGCACAGGTTCAGCTGGGGCAAGGGGCAGCGCAGGAGCCGCCTCGTGAACAGCACGACGAGCCGTCCGTCTCTCGAAAAATCCAGGCAGCTGAAGCCAGATGATCTGAGAGAAGACGGTGGACACCACGCCGCAGCAACAACCTGAGAGGAAGAGCAGCGCCGCCCCAAGAGCGAGGATGACAGCCACTAGGATGCCCTCCGAGGTATACGATCCGTTCAAACTCGCAGTCCAACCAAAGCAGTATAATGAAGCCTCAAGAGCTCCTCTCTGACAGGAGCCGGCTGTGGTGAGAGCGGGCCACCAAGAAGACATAAAATTGCGGCTGAGCCCACACAGCTACGGAACAAAGAAGGGATCGCACCGTTCTATCAAACTTCAGAAGAAACACGTGCTGGCACTGATTCTATATATATGGTTGCCCCCCCCCCAAGATCATACATCTCGTCTTAGCTCAGCTTAGCTTAGCTTAGCGCAGCATTCGCATAGCCTAGCATAGCATAGCATAGCATAGCGCAGCATAGCATAACATAGCGCAGCATAGCATAGCAAAGCATAGCACAGCATAGCGCAGCATAGCATAGCACAGCTTAGCTTAGCATAGCACAGCGCAGCATCGCATCGCACATCATATCATATCATATCATAGCGCAGCATAGCATAACATATCACAGCATAGCATTGCTACTACTACTACTACTAATACTCCTACTACTACTACTACGACTACTACTACGACTACTACTACTACTACTACTACTACTACTACTACTATTACACCTACTACTACTACTACTGCTGCTACTACTACTACTACTACTTCTACGACTACTACTACACCTACTACACCTACTACTACTACTACCACTACTACTACTACTACTACTACTTTTACTTTTACTTTTACTTTTACTTTTACTTTTACTACTACTACTACTACTACTACTCCTACTACTACTACTACTGCTGCTACTACTACTACTATTACTACTACTACTACTACTACTACTACTAATATTACCGCTACTGCTACAATTGCGACGATGAGGAGAAGGAGGAGGACGGCGTTTACCGTTACTACTAATATTGCTCTCCTCGGGGCTTCAACTCCTCGGGGCTCCTCTGGGATAATTTTCAAGTTCAGCTTGGGGAGGGAGCCTGTTGAGTATCGGTTGGCGTGTTGGAGACGGAGGGTGTTGAGTACTGGATGGTGTGCTGGAGACGGACGGAGTTGAGTATAATATCATGTTCAAGTTCAGCTTGGGGAGGGAGCCGGTTGAGTATCTGGTGGTGTGTTGGAGACGGAGGGAGTTGAGTAGTAGGTTATTTTCAAGCTCAGCTTGGGGAGAGAGCTCGTTGCTCCCCTGCCGCCTCCCCCCCCCCAGCACCTGTCTCTGTGCCCCCCGAATCAACACAGAACGCGCGCGTGCACCGTGTTTGGCGCCACCGATGCACGGAAACTTTTTTTTTTGGGCCTGCGAAGCCACGAAACATTGTGTAGTTTTTTTGGGGGGGGTGCAAGCCCCCGTGCCCGCCGCGGCCTCCCTCCCAGCACCCCTCTTTCTCTGCCTTTCAAAACAAAAAAAACAAACAAACAAACATACACAGTGTTTCGTGGCTTCGCAGACCAACCTCCCCCCCCCCTCCCAAAAAAAAACAACAAAACACAGCGTTTCCTTGCATCGGTGGCGCCAAGCATTGCGTATAGAGAGAGAGAGAGAAAGAAAAAAAAAGAGATAGAGAGAGAGAGAGAGACAGAGAAAGAGAGAGAGAGAGGCAGAGAGAGAGACAGAGAGAGAGAGAGGCAGAGAGAGAGAGAGAAAGAGAGAGAGAAAGAGAGAGAGAGAGAGAGAAAAAGGAAAATAAACAGTCGAGGATGAGGAGACGAACAGGTGTGATCTTGGGGGGGGGGCGACCATATATATATTATATATATATATATATATATGAATATATATATATATATATGTATATATATGTATATGTACACATATATATACATTCAGAGAAGGCACATAAACACTTACATCTGCAAATGACACATCGAGAGGATGAGAAAGAGAGAATCAAGAAGAGAAAGAGAGAGAGAGAGAGAGCGCGCACATTCCACCTTGGGTAAATACACGTTGAGGCTCGGCGCCCCCTTCTCCGTCACGGCGCGCACCAAGATCTGCTCCCCAACGAGAAAGTGGGTGTCGGAGTGGACGAAGGCCTCGGGGGTTCGGTCGGGCGTGTCCCCCTGCAGGCGGATCTTGGACGAAAGCTTCCAAACATATTCAGCAAATACCCCACAAATAATCAAAAGTAGTAAAACATCGTCCCCAGACTATTTTTGATTATCTTTGAATCTTCTCCCTGTGGAGGGACAGGCCCGACTTAATTCACGGGCGGGCTCTCCCTCCGAAGACGTCACGACGGCTCTCCTGCTCGTGCGCGCGTGCGCCTCCGCGCAAAAGGCGAGGGCACGACGAGGGCCGCACCTCCTGACGAGGACAGCCCGGGAATCTCTGAGGGGCTGCGGGGCTGCAAGACGTGTGCCGGGCGTCGCGACCGCCCCAGAGCCTTCCGGGACGCTGTCGGGCGGCGTATCCCCATCCTACGGCGGAAACCCGTCCACAAGAAACCTTCCACAGGAAACCCAACCCTGAGACTGACGTCCATGGGTTCTTGGCGTGGGAACGTCGCGCCTTCCACAGCAAAGCCATCGAAACCCACGGAACCCAGGGCACTGGAGGCAAGCAGGATGTTTCTTGGCAAAGGTCTCCACTGCATCTTCACGCTTAGCGCTCCGCGCTCCGCGAAGCGCGACTGTCTTCGCGCTTTCGCGCCGCCCCCGTCGGAACAGGATGAGGGACTCGCGCCTCGCTCTGTCGTCGCCCGGACCGCGAAGCGCAAGGAACTTCGCGCCCTCGTGGTGGCCCTATGGATCAAGAATCCTCTGCCGTGCTGCGAGGCACTGGAACCAGTGCCGCTGTCTGGCAGAGGTTGGCGTCCGGGTGGCCTTCACCACAAGAGGCTGAGCTGATCGGCCGTGGCCTGGCTAGGGGGCCACATGCGAACCCTACCCCTACCCCATCCCACGATTTCTGAGTGGGACGGTGGGGTTCACTTCGCTCCCCCCACGATTTCTGAGGGGAGGAGGAGGAGGAGGAGGAGGAGGAGGAGGAGGAGGAGGAGGAGGATGAGGAGGAGGAGGAGGAGGAGGAGGAGGAGGGAGGAGGAGGGGAAGGAGGAGGAGGAGGAGGAGGAGGAGGAGGAGGAGAGGAGCAGGAGGGGAAGGAGGGGAAGGAGGAGGAAGGAGGAGGAGGAGGAGGAGGAGGAGGAGGAGGAGGAGGAGGAGGAGGAGGAGGAGGAGGAGGAGGGGTAGGGTTCGCATGTGGCCTCCTACTGGCAGGCGCAGGCAGGTCGCGGCCTCGGGGCCCCGCGCCGTGCCGGCACGAGCCGGGCGGGCGCCACCCGTCAGCCTGCCTCTGGGGGCCCAGCCCCGGGGGCGGGGCGGCCCGCGAATCTTCGCGCCGCTCGGCCGCGGTCTCGCGCGCCGCCATGCCCGGGGGGGCCGGCTGCGATCTGCACCTGCTGAGGTGGCGTCTCCTCGGGCCCATTCGAGCTCTCGGCGCCGAGTCTTGCAAGCGTGAAGTCGGGCATGTCCGCCTGCAGACGGACTTTGGGCGAAAAAGAAGAAATAGCTAAGATATGCTCCAATTTGATCAAAAAGAAAAGGAACATCGTCCCCATACGATCGTTGGAGTATTTTTGGATATCCCTCCTGTAGAGGGACACGCCCGACTTCATGCAAGCGGCAAGCGTCCTCTTTATGAGGGCCCTGGGCGTCCCGTGTCCAGGCGCTCGCGGGGCGCCCCCGGCGCACGTCGCGCGACTCCTCCTCCAGAGGCCCCGGGGGCACGGCTGAAGGTCCACGCTTCCAGCATGCCCGGAGATGGCCACGAGGAAGAGAGAGCGAGAGAGCGAGGGACCGTGCATGGGCGAGAAGGGTGCAGCGACAGAATATACGACTGGTCGCCGGCTCCATGGGGCAGGAACAGATTACACATCTCGTCGTGCACACCCACGTGCCAAGATGCCCGCACGGTTAGATCGGGCGTGTCCTCCCCCTACAGGTGGATCTTGAACGAAAACTTAAAAATAGTCAAGACATATTCCAAACATGCCCCCAAACACTCAAAACATCGTCCCCAAACTATTCTTTTGAACATTTTTTGAGTATCCCTCCTGTCGAGAGGGACACGCCCGACTTGACCGTGCGGCGGACGACCCGCGAGGTGGCCACGAGGGGGCTCCAGAAAAGGCCGTGCCGGGGGGCTCCTTCAGAGGCTCTCTCGTCGGCCGACCACACAGGCGCTACGCTCGTGTTGAGCAAGAGCCCCTCGGCTCGCATCGCGTGGAATGACTCGCGCCTGGCCCTGGCCTCCCGCCTGGGCGTCCGTCATCGTCCGCCTGCCTCTTCCGTCCTCGCCCCCTTCTGCCGGGCAAAACAGCCTGCCCGGGACCAGCGTGGCGCAGCCTGTTTCCGTAGCCAGAATTTCGGCCACGCTTGCAGTTTCATGGCTCGAGGGGGGCTGTGAGCCTCACGCCTGCGTGCTCGCGTTAGGTCGGCCACTTCCTCCTACAGGCGGACTTTGGAGGAGAAACGACAAATAGCCAAAAGATGCCCAAAGATGAAACAATCGTCCCCGGACTGTTGCTTGACTATGTTTGAACATTCCTCCTGTAGAGGGACAGGCCTGACTGAATGCTCGCTTTTTCGAACTCGAGAGCGCCCCAAGGAGGTTACTCCAGAGGCCCTCAAACGACGGCCCCGAGAGGCGCCCGACAGGGCGACCTCGAACTGACAGGCGCCCTCCGCCCCAAGGTGGCGCCCAGCGACCGCCAGCAAGCGCCCCCTCCCAGGCGAGATCGTCCGAAGATCGGCGGCGAGCGAGGGGGGGAAGGAGAAAAAAGGAGGAAGCCTTCTCAGAAGGCGGCGGGACTTCTCAGAAGCCCTCGCGCCTTCCAAGAAGTGCTTCTGTCTTCGGGGAAAGCTCAGAGCACTTCTCAGAAGGCCGGAGGGACTTCCGAACCTCATGAGAAGGCCCTGAGAAAGCCTTCTCCTTCTCACTGCCCCCCCTCGATCGCCGCGCAGAAGACGCTCCACGCTGCCCCTGGGCAAGCTTTGCTGCCCTGCGAAGGGGGGGGAGCGAGAGGGGAGACACCGGCAGACGTCGACGAACGCGTGGGCGGGAGGCTGGGGCCGGCGGGGGCGGACGGGCAGGCGGGAGGGGGGCCGGGCGGAGACAGCAGGCAGGGAGCAGGAGGCAAGGGAAGGAGGCACGGAATAGGAAGAGAGGGGAAGCAGCCGCGAGCAGACGAGGGAGGCCCCATAGGAGGCCCCGGGAGGTCCACAGGAGGACTCCACGAGGCCCCCCCGAACGGGCCTCCGAGCCCCTGCTGCGGGCGGGCTGCCTCTCAGCAGCCGCCCCCCTGCCGTGGCGATCGGGGCGGGGCGGCTGGGCGGCCCACCAGGCCTGCCGAGACCGGGCACGGCGGGCTCGCTCCAGTCGGCGGCGAGCGAGGGGGGCCGGGTGAGAACGGCCCGCCACGAAAGACAGTCTCGGGGGAGGGGGTCGAGAGCTCCCATCCTCCTCCTCCTCCTCCTCCTCCTCCTCCTCCTCCTCCTCCTCCCCCTCTTCCTCCTCCCCCTCCTCCTCCCCCTCCTCCCCCTCCTCTTCCTCAGGACCACGTCGCGGCCACGTCAGGGCGTCGGACGTCTGGGCGCCTGGCGCTGCGCGGGCCCTGCTCGAGAGCGCCGCCCCCTCCGCCGCATGCCCCCGAGGTGGGTGGCGAGACCGCTGTGAGGGGGCTCTTGCCGTGTGTCTCCCTCCCTCTCTCTCTCCCTCTCCCCCTCCCTCTCGCTCTCGCTCTCCTCTTCCGCTCTCTGGCACGGGGCAGCGGGTCCCCCTTCGAGCGGCTCCTGAGCCCTGCGGCCTTCCTGGGACCCGCTGCTCGTCCCGAGCCGTGCGCCGGCAGTCCCGGGGCCGTGGAGGGGCCCCGGGAGCCGGAGCACTGGAAGACCTCCAGGACCCGCTGGCTTCGTGGCGATCTCTCGCAGCCTGGGGCGGCTCGTCCTGCAGTCGTCTCTTTGCCTCTCGCACCATCCCAGGGTGCTCGGACATCGCAGACGAGACGACCCACCATCGGCACCGCTGAAGGGGGGCTCGCATTTTGCACAACAAGCGACTGAGTAGCACGCCGGGCAGTTCGGAAGACGACGCACGTGTTATTGACATGTCGCAGCGCCGCTTGTTCTCGACGCGCCCAAGTCGACGACGCCGACACCACGGCAAACCCACGGCGAATCCTGCGTCCCGCGCCCAAGAGAGACGACGCTGGCACCGCGGCAAGCCCACCGCGTCCGAGGCGGCGTTTGCCCTGGTGCCCGAGGCGCCCTCCCCAAGATCGCCGGCGAGCGAGGAGGGGAAGCGAGAAAGAGGAGGCTCTCTCAGAAGGCGGCCGGGCTTCTCAGCGGCCCGAGGCCTTCTGAGAGGTTTTCCGTCTTCGGGGCAGGCCCAGAAAACTTCTCCAGAGGGCCGGGGGACTTCCCAGCCTTACGAGGATGCCTGCGCTGTCCGCCCTGCCGCAGCCTGCGCTGGAAGCGGGCACATTGCCAACGCCTCTAGCCTACGAGGGGGAAGCGGAGGAGGAGGAGAAGGAGGAGGAGGAGGAGGAGGAGGAGGAGGATGCTCGCCGCCGACGAGGCGCAAGGCCTCGCGTCGGAACAACCTGCGCGGCGACACCCTCGCCGCCCCCTTCCGGACGGCTCTCGCCCGCCCCAGGATGCTCCTGCATCACCCCCGCCGAGAAAAAAAAGTGCACACGTCCGAGCGATACCAAGACAACCAGGGAGAGAGAGGAGAGAGGAGGAGGAGGAGGAGGAGGAGGAGGAGGAGGAGGAGGAGGAGGAGGAGGAGGAGAAGGAGGCAGGCAGGCAGGCAGGCAGGCAGGCAGGCAGGCAGGCAGGCAGGCAGGCAGGCAGGCAGGCAGGCAGGCAGGAAGGAAGGAAGGAGGAGGAGGAGGAGGAGGAGGAGGAGGAGGACCTGCCGGCGCTGAGTGCCGGAGGCCGGAGAGCCCAGCGGCCAAGGCAGCGCTGCAGCTCTCGGCGCGGCGCCCCCCGGGCGCCGCGGCAACAGGAGCTCTCGGGGGCCATGGCCGCGGAGGCCCGATGTCTGCCGGGGCGAGGCTCGGGCTCGAGGGACTCGGGTTGGCCTGGCAAGGCCTTCAGACAAGTGACGAGACCCCATCCGAGCTTTGACTTGGTGGTCTCCAAACCAGGTGGTGAGACACCCGATGGTGACCCCGATTCCCCCAAAAAATGATTCTGGGTCACCACCGGGTTTGGGGACACGCGGTCGCCACGAGGTTTTGCGTTTCCTGGGCCAGCCAGCGCTCGAAAACCATTACCCAAATCGCCCAAAACTCACCACCGGGTTTCTCACCACCACGTTTGGGGACCACCAATTGACGTGAGCCCTCGCTGCAAGCATCCTGGGAAAGTTGGACAGTCGAATTCAAGACCTGCCCGTCCACAGAAGTGTCGGCAGACCCGAGTTCCGGTGAACTCGACTCTTACGTTTCCCCGACTCTGGATGGGTCAACGCGCGCTGTGGAGAAATTGTGGTCAACATGCTTTCGGGTTTTGACATCGCCCCGCTGGCACTTGGAGCCACAAGGCGCCCAAATAAGCGGCCAATCCAGCGGCCTCCAATAGGCCGCATGCGGCCCCGAGGTGGCCTCAGATGAGGTGTCCAAACACGCGTGATCTACCGTATTTGCAACCTGCCTGGCGAAATCGTGAAATGCCCAACGGCCTGCTCCCAACGGCCTGCTGCACAACTCCCGGTCCTCATCTCCACTTGGGCGGATTCCGGAAACCCTGAACCCAAAAACATCCTCGTCTCTTGGAGGCGCATCTCATGCTCCCGCCACCCTTCCGCGGCTTCCGCCAGCGGAGGCGGCCTCGCTTTACTTCCGCCGGCCTTCCGCCGCCTTCCGCCGAAGAAGATATGACATCTCTTTCTATCTATAGGTCGGGCGTGTCCCCCTACAGGCGGAGTTTTGGACGAAACATGGAACATACTCAACAAACATTACCCCAGTGCGACCCTACCCAGAAGTTGGAGCCCCTAGGAAAGCAGCATTCGTTGCTATGCTATGCTATGCTATGCTATGCCATGCTATGCTGCGCTATGCTGCGCTATGCTATGCTATGCTGTGCTCTGCTATGCTAAAGCTCAGCGAAGCTAAGATGAAGGTAAGCTACGCTAAGATACACCTGAGCTAAGATGAAGCTAAGCTAAGCTAAGATGAACTAAGCTAAGCTAAGATGAGATAAGCAACGCTAAGCTAACGGGACGTAACTGGGGGAACCGCGAGGCGGATACTGGGGGAACCGCCTGGGGCGTGGACCACTGCCCGGCCCTTTAAGCATACCGAGTAAGAACCCTTCTAGGCAGAGCCTAGGTAGGGAACAACAAAAACTGAAAAACATCGTCCCCAGACGATTGTTTGACTATTTTCGAAGATCCCCCCTGTAGAGGGACAGGCCCGACTTAATTCTATCCTCGGAGGCAAGGCCCCTTCGAACACCTGCAGACCTATCCGCGAGGGGCGCCGGGACCGGAGACGCCGTGCTAGGACTGCCAGCAGCCGTGCTCTTCGCGCCGTGCCCACGTCAGCGGTATCGTCTTTCCCAAGTGTTCCTTGTCCTCCTTCTCCTCCTCCTTCCCTCCTCCTCCTCCTCCTCCTCCTCCTCCTCCTCCTCATACTCCTCCTCCACCTCCTCCTCCTCCTTCCTCTCCTCCACTGGAGCCTTTCAGCTGCGGCGCGGCGCGGCCCCGTGGGCCAGGCGCCGCGCCACCTGGGGGAATGAGGAGGGTCCGGCGGAGCCTGGGCCTCGCGCGCGGGGGCCCGGGCGACGATGCAGAGGGCAGAGCATCGACCCCCGTGATCACCGCCACGGCGCGCGAAGCCGTCTTTTTTTTTTTTTGATTTGTTTTGTTTTGTTTTTTGTTGTTGCACCCCAAGAGGGAACCAATAGCAGGGCAGGGCTGTCCCGAGCAGACGCCCAGGGCCGTCAGCTGCAGCAGGCGCCGATCTGTCTGGTCCGGGCAGCCGTTCCTCCCCTGACGGTGCGGCGTGGCACACGGAGGCCGCACGCGGCGAAGACGGACGGGGTGCGCGCCAGGCCCCCGCCGTCCTGGCTTCATCCACGCAGTGTGGGAGCTCGGCCACGAGACAGCTTCCACGAGGAGCCCAACCCCAAGACCCCAGGACGTCCACTGGTTACTGGTGTGGGAGCGTCGTGCCTTCCACAGCGAAGCCATCGAAAGCCAGGAAACCCAGGGCACCCTGGAGGCAAGCAGGGTGTTTCTTAGCATGGACTTCCACTGTAACGTCGGTCCCCCGAGGTCTCGACTCGTACTCCAGGGCCGGCTTTTCATCCTGAGTCGTTTCTTCTCGTGTTTTTTGCATGACTCGAGGGGGTCGTGCAACATTATTACCCGCGGCGGCTCACACACGGACACTCGCACAGTCGGTCCCGAATCCCCACGTCGCTCTCAAGTGTCGAGGGGGGCGATGAGGGCTCCCCTGCGGTGCGGGCGCACACCTGCGCATGCTGGCGCGCACATTGGGGGTTTGGGGGAGAGAGCGGCATTGCAAAAAGGCAAGGGGGGCCCTCCACACGCATCGACAGCTTCCAAGGACACCTCTTGGACGGCGGGGGGGGGGGCTTCCGAGAAACTCCCCGCACTCTTGGTCAAACCGGCCCCCCCCCCCTGCCGCCGCCACACCAGAAGCCGTTCGAGATCGCCCTCTCAGGCCCCAGTCCAGGGGGCGCCTCCTGGCCGCGTGCTCGCGCTGCGTGCGGCCGCGGGGGCGGGACCTCCCAGACACGCCCAAGAACCTGCGACACGACGTGGTCGCTGTGGTCGCCGCCCCGCCCCGCGGCGCGCGCCAGAGCACGCGCTGGCGCGCGCGCGCGGCGCGCCGCCTTGGTGTCCGCCAGGTCGTGGAACCAGAGCGGCCTTCCGCAACCCGTGGGGGGGGAGCGCCACGGCACTCCGCGCCGACCGCGCGTGCGCGCGCGAGGGCTGAGGGGTGGGGCGGCGCCTGGCTTCGAGCGGGCGGGGAGGCTGAGGAGGGGGAAGAGCGGCAACGGAAAACCTTTGTTTTATAGCAAGCGGATGGGGAGGCATGGAGGAAGGCGAAAAGCAGGACGAGAATGCATCCGGCGAGGGGATCACAGCTAGCACCTCGGTATCGGCGGCTCTGGAATTTTACCAGGCCTGCGCGGTTTCTCTGAGTTGTTCTGGAACTCTATGAGAGCGGATATTATCCTTGCCACGCACAAGTTCCGATGGCACGGCGCTGCCGGCGGGGGAGGGAGAAGGGAGGAGGAGGAGGACGGAGGAAGGAAGGAGGAGGAGGGAGTGATGGAGGGAGGGATGTGGGAGGAGGGAGGACTCAGGAGGGAGGAGGAAGGAGGAAAGAGGGCGCAGGAGGGAGGAGGGGAGGGAGGAGGGTGAATGAAGGGAAGAGTGAAGGAAGGAAGAGGAAGAATGGAAGGAAGGAAGGGGAGGGAAGGAAGAAGGAAAGGGAAGGAACGAGGCCAAGGGAAAGGAAGGAGGAAAGGAGGAAGGACATAGGAAGGGAAGGGAGGGAGGGGGGAGGAGGGAGGGGCGGGAGGAGGGAGGGAGGGAGGGAGGGAGAAGGAGGAGGAGGAGGGAGAGGTAGGAGGGAGGGAGGAGAGGAGGAGGAGGAGGAGGAGGCGGGAGGAGGAGAGGAGGAGGAGGAGCGGGAGGAGGAGGAGGAGGAGGAGGCGGACCAATGGTGCGCCACAGCGGGGGTAGCGGAGTCCGAGCAGGTGTGGCGCGGGGCTCCCCTGCCACCCCGAGCTGGCCTCCCCGCGGCGGGCCGGGGTGGGCGGAGCCGGCGAGACACGACGGGACACGCGGGCAGGCCGCTGGCGCCATCGCGCACGGGGGAGGCAGGAGGACGAGGAGCGAGGCGGGGGATGCGGGGGGGGGGCAGGCGGGGGAGGCACAGGACGAGCTCGTTCGCTCGCTCTCACCCACCTAGTTCAACCTGCGAGTCTCCGAGCGTGTTCGTGAGCCCTGGGGGGGCAAAAGGACATCTCGCGCCTGCGCCTTCTGCTTCGCAGCTCCGACCAGAGCACCGTGCACTCAAGCATGAGCTGCAAATGACCGTGCGCAACGGGGGTCGCTGCACGGGAGCCGGCAAGGGACGAGAGGGAGAAGGACGAGAGGGACCGCGATCACGAGCAGGAGCGGGAGGACGGTGGGCAGGGGGAGGCGGAAGAGGGGATGTGCGACCCCTGAGTACCCCTGCAGGCCAGGTATCGGAACGGAGCAAAGGGGAAACGGAGGAGCCGGGGCTCAGAATGTGAAGGGCTACCCCAGCGGGGACACTCGCTACCCCAGCGCCGAGTGGGCCCGCAGGGGTGGCGACAGCGCTGAGGCGCAAGAGCGCGGCGGAAGCGGGCGAGGACTGCCGCGCCTGAGTCGCCCACCCCTGCCCTCCCCGACCGCAGCACGGGCCGCCCGGCCATGGACCACTCCGCGAAGAGGGTGTACCACATGGGCAGCAGCTGGTAGCGCGCCGTTACCTGCGCCGTGTCCCTTGGCCCTCTTCCTTCTCCTCCACCTCCTCCTCCTCCTCCTCCTCCTCCTCCTCCTCCTCCTCCTCCTCCCCTGCTCCTCCTCCTCCTCCTCCTCCTCCTCATCTTCGGGCCCTCCTCGCTGTTGCGAGCGAGAACCTTTGCTTAGCGTGCCGCGGCGGCGGCCCCGGCGACACACTATATGCCGTGCGAGCGGGTGGCGTGTCGCTCCGCTCCGCGGGGCGGGAGGCTGGGAGAAGCTCGGGAAGTCGACGCCTTGGGACTGGGAAATGATCCGTGTCGCTACGCTCCGCGGGGCGGGAGGCTGGGAGAAGCTCGGGAAGTCGACGCCTGGGGACTGGGAAATGATCCGTGTCGCTACGCTCCGCGGGGCGGGAGGCTGGGGGAGGGGCTCGGGAGGTTGACGCCTGGGGACTGGGAAATGATCAGCGTGTCACGCCGAAGCGTGGTGGGCCAGAACCGGCGGCGCGACGCACTGAACCACCGTTCCTGGCCGTAGTCCCTCTCCCGTGAGGGAGACCGTGCCAACGCCCAAGCATTCGTTCGCGTACGGCACCCAATGTGCGCGGACCCCCTCCCTACTCGTATCTCGACCCACTGCCGCGACCTCCTCTGCCTCTGCTCCGTGTGCGTGTCCTTCCATCTGCCCCCATCTAGCCATCAGGAATGGAGGTCTTGACCCCAGGGGCTGTCCGCGGGTCTGAGCTCTTCGTCACGAGTAAGCTGCTGACGGCCCCCGGGGGGCCTCGAAGAGACTGAAAACGGCAAAAACGACACAGAAAAAGGAAGGAGACACGCTGCGCCGCTTCACTACTTGAAAGCCCCTGCCCCTTCCCCCTCCTCCTCCAACCTCCCCCCCCCCTACCTGGCCTCCGTGCTCCCTCCCCCGTTCCCCCGTCACGCGTCCGCCCGTGCCCGACCCGCGCCGCAGGCCTGCTCGCGGATCATGGACGTCACCTCGTCGCCGTGCACCCACGGCTCCCGCCGCTTCGTCTCCAGGTGTGCGTGGCCGCGGTAGAAGGGGTACCTGGCCGGCAGGGGGTGGCCCAAGTGGCCTGTGCGGTCGGTGTCGCCACTGGCTTCTGCCTCCGCCTCCTCCTCCTCCTCCTCCTCCTGCTCCACCTCCTCCTCCTCCTCCTCCTCCTCGGAGGGAAGGGAGGTGGAAGGAGCAGAGGGCCATCCTACGATAATGAGCAGCAGCAGCGACCTGGGGGCAGGACACGAGAGCAGGAGGGACGAGAAACACCGAGCATCTGACGCGCGCATGCCATGACTGACTACGTACCTGCACTCAGATGTGATTGCGTACGTGCACCCACGTCTGTCCACTTCTCCCGGCGTGTACCTGCTTCTGCCTCTGTTCATGTGTCTGCATGCGCCGCATGTGCGTGTGCACGGGTGCATCCCCTACGCCCGGAGAAAATCCTGGGCAACGGCCACCTGTGCACAAGATGATCGCTCGCGCACCGCGATCATGCAGACTCATATCGATTGAGGTCAGGGCGCCCAACCCTGGTGGTGTGGTCCTGGTGCCCCGCTCGAGACCCATCCAGTCTGCAGCTCGGGGAGGCATCGTGGACCTCCTCGCTGCAAGCGCCCCACCCCTGGTGGGGGTGCCGCCTCTCCTTCCTCCTGTGGAGCGAACAGCTGGAACCTGTGAGCCGTGAGCCCAGAGCCTGAGCGTAGAGGGCCCGAGGCATGGCCTGGTGGGGCCTGACCAAAAGAAGGATCAGAGCGACCGCCTCCGAACCAGCCCGGATGGGGGCCCTGCCCCCGACGCCTGGGCGCCCGACAGGGCACTCCGCCCATGCAAACCCACCCTGGGCGGACGGAGTGGCGCCAAAATCGCCTCCCAGTCGAACCTTCGGTTGCAACTCACGGGAGCCTCCCACGCCATCTTGCTGGCTCTCGCGAGTAGACGCCACCCGACGCTGGTCGACGCTATAGTCGACGCTCAATCGACGCTAATATCGACGCCAGATCGGCGCTATACCCGATCGGTTACCAGACGCTAGCCGACGCTCCTGCACTCTGAAGACGGATTTGCGAGGGCACACGAGGCTTAGGTCGGGCCTGTCCCCCTACAGGGGGACTTTTGGCGACAAATTGAAAATACGCAAGAAAGGCCCCCCCCAAATGCTCGAAAATAGCAGAAAAATGGAACCCAAACTATGTTTCGACTATTTTTCGAAGATCCCCCCTGTAGAGGGACAGGCCCGACTTAACACGAGGCTTCCGTGATCTGCCGCCGAGCGAACCTGCCCGAAGAAGCGCTGGACAGCCCACCGCTCGGGTCCTTTGTCGGCGACTCCAAAGGGTGTGGTTTGCAACCGGCACCCTAGAGAACATCCTGGGGGGCACCCTGGGGGGACGCGCGGGGACCTCGATAGAGTTCTCCCGCACTCCGAGGAGGTCCGACGAGGACAAGGACAATGTTGTACCCCCCAGGCCACGGCAGTGCCGATCGCAAACCGCACCCTGGCGTAACCACACCCTTTGCAATCGCCGACTTTGTGCAAGCCTGGAAGCCCGGGCCTCCCCCCCGGGCGCGGCCCACGCGCGCCACGCGCCTCGGCTCGAGACGAGGCCCGCGCGGAGGCGGAGAGCTCCCGGCAGCAGGCCCTCGGAGCGATGCACCGCCCCAGAGCGCCGTGCGACCTTCGGCGGCGGTGGACAGACCTCCCTCTATAGCGGTCAAAAAATCCACCCCCATAAGAACCACCCCGACGCGCGAAGTCGTTTAGTTAAAGCGCCCAGAGCAGAAATCGAACAGGGCACGGCTTTTAGTAAACGCCCAGGGCCGCTTAGTAACCGCCAAGTGTCTGGTCCGGGTGGCCTTTCCTCCCTTTACTTTAGCACAACACACCAACATCAACACAGGGGGGTGCCTCCACAGGGGCAAGATGGTCCTCGATTTCGGTGTTGGTGGCAATATTTCGGTTACCTTGGAGGCCAGAATATTGACACCATCACCGAGATCGGGATCTTCTTCCCTCGGCGGAGGCATACCGCCGATATTGGTGTTGGTGTCAACCTCTAGGCCTGCGACTTTAGCACACCGCCCTTCAGTGAAAACGGCCTAGGACCGAAACTGATGGACCTGGGCCCGCAAAAAATGACGGCCGCGACGCTCTCTCGCGAACCGAGAACTGCCGATGCGCTAATCGACGTGTCAAGGAGGAGGTCTATCAACCTCCGATTCTTTCTGAAGATCGAGCACCTCCCGCTTCCAGCGTTGGTCCCAGGCACGGACTTGCTGATCAGCACTGGGCCCAGGCGCGACCTGCCGAAAAGCGCACCACCACGCCTCGAGTCCACGCCGAGGGCCGCCCGGGGGTGAGGAGGCGGAGCTCGGTCAATCTGGGACCGGGGGCCGGGGACTAGAGGTGATGGCTTCGAGGCGCCTGAGCTCATCAGTGGGCCTCCTTTCCTGGTGTCGTCTTCCTGTAGGTAGAGCACGGTGGCCGCCACTGTTCGTCGTGGTTGACGCCCAAAGTCAGGGCGATCATTGGGCACGACGAGGGCGTGTGCTGGGGGCCTTCCTAGTAACGCCACGGGTTTTGTCCGAATGTGGAGGAAGAAAACATAAAGGATGAGAAGGGAAGAAGTGGGGATGAGAGGGCAGGGCATGCAAAGGAACCCAAGCATGCGCGTGGCCGCACACGTTTATAAGCATGCGTGTGGCCCCACGCACATGGCCCTCAGAGTCACCAATGCCCAGGCTCGACACCCCAGACGCATCGAAATCTGGAGCCCTGTCTAGATAATCCGATTTGGCGACCCTACCAAATTCGTTTTTGTGTCTCACTTCGTGTGCCCCTGCGTGCAAGCACATACGTACATGTGTGAACGCACGCGTGCAGACCTTGGAACATGCACGCGTCCTCAACATATAAGTATTACTAGCAGCAGTCGGCGAGATTATTGGGGGGAGCGAAAGGGGGGGATAGCAAAGGGTAGGGTAGAGACTCAGCTCACGTAGCTGATTTTCCCAGCGCTTCCTGGCGCCAGGAGGCGCCCATGTATCGAGGACTGGGCCCAGGCGGGGCCGAAACTAGCTGCATGCAGCAGATTTCGTAACCCCCTCTTTCCTCATCCCCCCCCTTCGTTCGGCCCGGGATAAGAGCAGAGTGTATCAGGACATGGTATGTTCGATGTGGCAGGAGTGATGGGAGTAGTAGAAGAGACAGCAGCAGTGGCAATAGTAGCAGAAGCAGCTGTAGTCATCAGCTTGTTGGTGGAACACCCTAACTCTGAAGTGGTACCACGCAGTAAGCTGTTTACTCGACATGTGTATACATATGCGGTGCCGCGTGTAAGTCTACCGTATCAGCCTGCAGCGTTGAAGACAGATCAGTAGCAGCCCCAGCGGTGCTGGGTGAGAAACGCGGCGTCCCAACGCCCCCTCTGTCCCCCCCCCCCCAAAGCGACAGTCGACAGAAATCTCGCAACGGCCCAAGCGCCGAAGTGGTAGGCTCCCACGGAGCCCGGCCAACAACCACGCAGAAAGAGAGGACTCGTACTATGTTTCCACGTAACAGTTTTCGTAGGAGGGTGTGGATGGGGGGCAGTGAGAACAGTAGAGGTCAGTAGGACATGCAGGACAATAGGGTCCGACGCCGATCCAAAACATCGGCGTGGACCTCGGCATTATTATGAGTATGCCGTTGTCCCTCCTAATTCTTGCCATCGCTCGGACGTCGAACCCCCGTACACTTTTGGGTTTCGTATGTTCTGTCGCTGGCTGGTTCAAACTGCTCCACCCGGGGATCTTCTGACCCGGGTCAATCCAGACCTGGGTCAGCAAGAAAACAAACAAACTGCAACGCAGGAAAAAAAACTGCAACGCAATTCTTCGCAAACCCGGGTCGGCCAACATGCGCGGCCGCCTCGCGGCCACGAGCGGCTCGCTGACCCGGGTCAGCCAGAGGGGGTCTTCGCAGGATCCTGCAGCATCCGGTGTCCTGGCTGACCCCCGTTTGCATTGACCCCCGTCTCAAGGCTCCTGACCCACGATGGCTCAGATGTTCTGGTGCTGGCCTCGCCGAGCACATGTACGCACTCCATCGATGCCGTTTTTTTACCTAACAGCGAAGACTGATAGGTTTCTAGTAGTGTCAAAAGAGAGCATCTTGACTCCCCAGGGGGGTCTGGGCGGGTGCCGGGGAGAAGCCGCGGAAGTCGTTTTAAGCAAACAGTTACACACTTCGTGGTCCTCGAGGTCCCAGAACTCCATTCCTGGGCATGATTTTGAATGCCCAGAGCCAACTGTAGGCCACTTCGTGGTCTTCGAATTCCCATAACTCCATTCCTGGGCATGATTTTGAATGCTCAGAGCCAACTGTAGGCCACTTCGTGGTCTTCGACTTCCCAGAACTCCATTCCTGGGCATGATTTTGAATGCCCGGAGCCAACTGTAGGCCACTTCGTGGTCTTCGAATTCCCAGAACTCCATTCCCGGGCCACATTTTGAATGCCCGGAGCCAACTGTAGGCCACTTCGTGTTCTTCGAGTTCCCAGAACTCCTTTCCCGGGCCACATTTTGAATGCCCGGAGCCAACTGTAGGCCACTTCGTGTCTTCGAGTTCCCAGAACTCCATTCCCGGGCCACATTTTGAATGCTGATGCAGGCTGAGGCTGAGGCTAGGGCAGGCTGAGGCCTGAGGCTGCTGAGGCCGAGGCAGGCTGAGGCTGAGGCCGAGGCTGAAGGCAGACTGAGGCTGAGGCTGAGGCAGGCTGATGCTGATGCAGGCTGAGGCTGAGGCTGAGGCTGAGGCTGAGGCTGAGGCTGAGGCTGAGGCTGAGGCTGAGGCAGGCTGATGCTGAGGCAGGCTGAGCCTGAGGCTGAGGCTGATGCAGGCTGAGGCTGAGGCTGAGGGCAGGCTGAGGCTGAGGCTGAGGCAGGCTGAGGCTGAGGCTGAGGCTGAGGCAGGCTGAGGCTGAGGCAGGCTGAGGCTGAGGCTGAGGCTGATGCAGGCTGAGGCTGCAGGCTGAGGCTGAGGCTGAAGGCTGAGGCTGAGGCAGCAGGCTGAGGCTGAGGCTGAGGCTGAGGCTGAGGCAGGCTGAGGCTGAGGCTGAGGAGGCTGAGGCTGAGGCTGAGGCAGGCTGAGGCTGAGGCTGAGGCTGATGCAGGCTGAGGCTGAGGCAGGCTGAGGCTGAGGCTGAGGCTGCAGGCAGACTGAGGCTGAGGCTGAAGCAGGCTGAGGCTGAGGCTGAGGCAGGCTGAGGCTGAGGCTGAGGCAGACGCTGAAGCAGGCTGATGCTGATGCAGGCTGAGGCTGAGGCTGAGGCTGATGCAGGCTGAGGCTGAGGCAGGCTGAGGCTGAGGCCGAGGCTGAAGGCAGACTGAGGCTGAGGCTGAAGCATGCTGAGGCTGAGGCTGAGGCAGGCTGAGGCTGAGGCTGAGGCAGGCTGAGGCTGAGGCTGAGGCTGATGCAGGCTGAGGCTGAGGCAGGCTGAGGCTGAGGCCGAGGCTGAAGGCAGACTGAGACTGAGGCTGAAGCAGGCTGAGGCTGAGGCTGAGGCAGGCTGATGCTGAGGCTGAGGCAGGCTGAGGCTGATGCAGGCTGAGGCTGAGGCTGTGACTGCGACTGCGGTTGCCACTGCGACTGTCATCGCGAATGCGACTGCGACTGCGAGAACAGTAGAATTCTACAACTGGATTCCCATCTGAATCTTAATGGGAATGCTTCCAGATGTGCTTCTACACATCGCTGTCAGGTTGCTTTGCCGGGATAATTTGCCTAACAGCGAAGACTGATAGGTTTCTAGTAGTGTCAAAAGAGAGCATCTTGACTCCCCAGGGGGGTCTGGGCGGGTGCCGGGGAGAAGCCGCGGAAGTCGTTTTAAGCAAACAATTACACTTTCGTGGTCCTCGAGGTCCCAGAACTCCATTCCCGGGCCACATTCTGAATGCCCGGAGCCAACTGTAGGCCACTTCGTGGTCTTCGAGTTCCCAAAACGCCATTCCTGGGCATGATTTTGAATGCCCGGAGCCAACTGTAGGTCACTTCGTGGTCTTCGAGTTCCCAGAACTCCATTCCCTGGGCCACATTTTGAATGCCCGGAGCCAACTGTAGGCCACTTCGTGGTCTTCGAGTTCCCAGAACTCCATTCCGGGCATGATTTTGAATGCCCGAGCCAACTGTAGGCCACTTCGTGGTCTCCCAGAACGCCATTCCCGGGCCACAATATGAATGTGCTGAGGCAGGCTGATGCTGAGGCTGAGGCAGCCTGAGGCTGACGCAGGCTGAGGCTGAGCCGAGGCTGCAGGCAGGCTGAGGCTGAGGCTGAAGCAGGCTGAGGCTGAGGCTGAGGCGGGCTGAGGCTGAGGCTGAGGCAGGCTGAGCTGAGGCAGGCTGAGGCTGAGGCTGAGGCTGATGCAGGCTGAGGCTGAGGCAGGCTGAGGCTGAGGCCGAGGCTGAAGGCAGACTGAGGCTGAGGCTGAAGCAGGCTGAGGCTGAGGCTGAGGCAGGCTGAGGCTGAGGCAGGCTGATGCTGAGGCAGGCTGAGGCTGAGGCTGAGGCTGATGCAGGCTGAGGCTGAGGCAGGCTGAGGCTGAGGCCGAGGCTGAAGGCAGACTGAGGCTGAGGCTGAAGCAGGCTGAGGCTGAGGCTGAGGCAGGCTGAGGCTGAGGCTGAGGCAGGCTGATGCTGAGGCAGGCTGAGGCTGAGGCTGAGGCTGATGCAGGCTGAGGCTGAGGCAGGCTGAGGCTGAGGCCGAGGCTGAAGGCAGATTGAGGCTGAGGCTGAGCAGGCTGAGGCTGAGGCAGAGGCAGGCTGAGCTGAGGCTGAGGCAGGCTGATGCTGAGGCAGGCTGAGGCTGAGGCTGAGGCTGATGCAGGCTGAGGCTGAGGCAGGCTGAGGCTGAGGCCGAGGCTGAAAGCAGACTGAGGCTGAGGCTGAAGCAGGCTGAGGCTGAGGCTGAGGCAGGCTGAGGCTGAGGCTGAGGCAGGCTGATGCTGAGGCAGGCTGAGGCTGAGGCTGAGGCTGATGCAGGCTGAGGCTGAGGCAGGCTGAGGCTGAGGCCGAGGCTGAAGGCAGACTGAGGCTGAGGCTGAAGCAGGCTGAGGCTGAGGCTGAGGCAGGCTGAGGCTGAGGCTGAGGCAGGCTGATGCTGAGGCAGGCTGAGGCTGAGGCTGAGGCTGATGCAGGCTGAGGCTGAGGCAGGCTGAGGCTGAGGCCGAGGCTGAAGGCAGACTGAGGCTGAGGCTGAAGCAGGCTGAGGCTGAGGCTGAGGCAGGCTGAGGCTGAGGCTGAGGCAGGCTGATGCTCAGGCAGGCTGAGGCTGAGGCTGAGGCTGATGCAGGCTGAGGCTGAGGCAGGCTGAGGCTGAGGCCGAGGCTGAAGGCAGACTGAGGCTGAGGCTGAAGCAGGCTGAGGCTGAGGCTGAGGCGGGCTGAGGCTGAGGCTGAGGAAGAGGCAGGCTGATGCTGAGGCAGGCTGAGGCTGAGGCTGAGGCTGAGGCTGAGGCAGGCTTAGGCTGAGGCAGTCTGAGGCTGAGGCCGAGGCCGACGGCAGACTGAGGCTGAGGCTGAAGCAGGCTGAGGCTGAGGCAGAGGCAGGCTGAGGCTGAGGCTGAGGCAGGCTGAGGCTGAGGCTGAGGCTCAGGCTGATGCAGGGTGAGGCTGAGGCAGGCTGAGGCTGAGGCCGAGGCTGACGGCAGACTGATGCTGAGGCTGAAGCAGGCTGAGGCTGAGGCAGGCTGAGGCTGGGGCAGGCTGAGGCTGAGGCTGAGGCAGGCTGAGGCTGAGGCTGTGACTGCGACCGCCGTTGCCACTGCGACTGTCATCGCGAATGCGACTGCGACTGCGAGAACAGCAGAATTCTACAACTGGATTCCCATCTGAATCTTAAGGGGAATGCTTCCAGATATGCTCCTACACATCGCTGTTAGGTTGCTTTGCCGGGATAATCCCGAAAACTCTCTTTTTGCGAGCGTGGGCCCCTTTACGCCCCCCTCCCGCGACGGCCACAACCTGCCCATCCATGCTCTCACTTCCGCCGCCGCTTCGTCCTTCTCCTGTGCCCCCTCTCGGGGTTGTCGCTGCCCCTGTCCGGCCCTTGTCTCTCTTCGCCCGCTCACTGACTGGGAGGCGCGCCATATGCCCAGCTGGTGCCAGCGCTTGAAGAGCTCCAGATCGGGGTCGTAGAAGAAGCCTGCGTCACGCCAGAGGGACGAATGGGATTAGCAGGACAGGCAAGGAGCTGAGGCGGCAGAGGAGGTACAAAACACGACAAGCAGAGACATATACCGTCAACAATCCTCGGACGCTGACCGTCAGATGCCTTCTTGGAGACCTTGAACCGGATACCCCAAACGGCGCATGCTGTCACACAAGGTAAGGCGGGGCCAGTTGAGACATCCATCTGCGACGGGCCTGCGCACGACAGACGTGGACGACGCACTATCACAAGAAGCGGCAGAGGAACACGAGGCCAAAGCATATTTTTGAAGCGCCCACGGCTGCTCCTCATCCACCGCGGCGCTGTCCTTCCTTCTCCCATCCCCCCCCCTCGCCACCGTTTTTCTCCGTGTCCACTCGCCCTCCTATTCCTCCTCCTCTTCCTCCTCCTTCTCCTCCTGCTCCTCCTTCTGCTCCTCCCCTTCTCCTAACTCCTCCTGATCCTCCTCCCCCTGGTCTTTCTCTTCCTCCTCCTCCCCCTCTTCCTCTTCCTCCTCCTCCTCCCCCTCTTCCTCTCCCGTAGCCATTTTGGCTCGAGAGGGCACCTCCTCCCCGTCCCGACTCCCGAAGCCCGGGGTCGAGGTGGAAGGGCAGCCTCTTCCAAGGCCTGGCTGCCTCGGCCACACTGCCCGCAGCACCGTTTCAACTTTCCGAGACCCGAACGGGTCTCCGCCGCCGCCGGACGGTCCTCCGCCTGGTGTGTGCTTGGCTGCTGCTGCCGCGATGGGGCGTGGGGACGCCCCCCCGCGGGCCGCCGCGATCGCGGAGGCGAGCGGGACCGCCGCACTAGCCGAAGCCAGACAAGGGCCAGCCGTGCCTACCAGGTCTGCCAGTCACCATCGTGCCGGGAATGGTCATGGACGGACCTCGGACACCGCCATTGTGGGAAGTGCGGTGCCAGTTTTGACCGCTCCAGCCCGCCCGCGCCAGCAGCCAGCCGCCCTTCCTCGAAGAGCAGAAATCGCTGGACCAGAGCTGCTGTACACGTCGCGGGCCCGTTTTTTCCAACGACATCTGATCCAGGAAAGGACATGATTGTGCATGTCGGTTGCAACAAGTGAGAGGCTCGTCGCGGAGAGCAGTGACTCTCGAATGCTGCTCAGTAAGAATGCCATCCGGGTGCAATCGCAGCGGGGCCTGGCGGCATGCGGTGGCAACTACTCATAGAAACCTGTTGCTACGAGATCCTCGGCCTCGTAATCATCATCGAAAGGCCTGGGCTCGGCAATCTGCGCTGGCAAACCAGGGCCTAACTCCGAGCCTGGCTCTACACTGGGAGAGGCTGTGCGGACAGGGGCAACGCGCTCGACTGGTGGCAAAAAAACCTCCGCTCACGAATCCGATGGGTTCTACAGGCCGCCCTCGCTGATCGTCTCCAGCCGGTGGCCCACTTCGTCCTCGAGCCAGCCCGCTGGCGCTACCCCTTTGCGGCGGGTCGCAACGTCCTCTGCCCGCAGCGCTTTATGGATGAGTAATCGCCCCTCCCAGCGGGGAGCCCCTACGATGACCTTCATCTTCTGCGAAGCGTAGCAACTCCCCGAGCGAATGAAACCCACGGCGGCCTCCAGGTCCGCTGTCTCGACGTCGGGCGTCGCGTCCTGCTCCTCGGGGGAGCGCATCGGAAGGTGCATGCGGATCTCGTTCTTCATGCCGCCGCCAATGTCGCACAGCATCACGCCCTCCAAGGCCGCCAGCGCTAGGCTGGCTGCGGGCGAGCCAATCTCCTTCATCGTCTTCTTGCCCCCCGCGCCCTGCGAGCGCAGCGTGTCGAGCATACCTTCGCGGCCCTCTAGCTCGCCGCTGATCTTGCTCACCATTGGGTGCTTCGACGGCTCCGTGTGCGTATCGATCGCGGCTCAGGAGGCCAGCCTGTCTCTGTGTGCTGTCTGCAGAACTAGCTTGAGTGTCGCCTGGGGAAGTGCGAGTAAGTTCTTGTCCTTGCTGCTGCAGCCCTTGATCTGCTGCTCGCCGCGGCGAGCTCGCCGCCGTCCTCGCCCCCGCCCTTCGCGGGCCCCGATGATGAGTGCGACCCCCCCCCCCCCCCTGTGCGACGCCGCCGCAGCCCGAGGGCGGCCCCGTGGCCACCTGCGCCAAGGCGGTCAATTTCTGGCGAGGGCTGGAGGGCGTGGGCTGCCAGCATTGCAAGAAGGCGCAAGAGGAACTCGAGGCGGCGAAGGCAGCCGCCCTCGCCTCCGAGACGCCCGACCAGCAGACGCAGAGCCGCACCGCGCAGCTACAAGCGCGGAGGGGCAGACTCCAGGGCAAGCAGAAGGATGCGGCTTGGTACATCGACGCATCGAGGAGGAATTCGCCAAGTATGACGGCGTGGCAGAGGAGTGCGCCGATGTCCAGACAAAGATCCAGCAGCTGGGGGCCCAGCTCAAGGTGGCCGCCAAGGCCGCTGCAGCAAAGCTGGCAGGAGAGGAGCGCCCATCAACGAAGGCAACCCTCGAATCGCTCGTCAAGGAGAAGTTCGGAGCCCCCCCCATCTCGGCGACGCTCAAGGGTGAGGTCGGCCAGATGCTGGCCAAACTCAACGATGAGTTCAACCGAGCCGCCGTGCAGGCGCCACAGCCTGCGGAGCCGCCGCCAACTGCGCCCCTTGCCGCATGTGCAAACCCGAGACAGCCTTCGCCAGAGGCGACGCCCGCGGGCGCCGACGAGGATACATACCTTATGGACACCGCCACGGGCAAGGCCTCGGAGCCAGGAGGGAAGCGCACCCCGCAGGCCATCAACACGGACGACCTCCTGGCCACCGAGGGCGCCGTCGACGCCGACGCTGCCGAGGTCTCCCGCCGCCTCCGCCAGCGCGCAGGCAAGGGGCCCGCGCCCGCCGTCGCCAGCCCAGACAAGTCAGGGGGGCAACCTTCGAATGCTCACAATTAGCGGTAAGAGCTGGGGGAGCACAAAGACTTTCGTCGGGTCCGATTTTGAGCTCCGCCAGCATCAAATCATCTGTTGTCAGGGAACCAGGCTTCGGGGTCCAGAGGAGATCGTGAAAGCGACTCAGTGGTGCTCGAAGTTTGGGTGGCACGCGTCATTTACCGCTGGGGTTCTATCAGAATGCGGGGAGGTCATTCGTGGAACTGCCATCCTAATGCGTTCGGGCTTGGACTTCGGGATCGCCAAGGTGAGCCCTCCGTCCGACGCGCCCGAGGGGAAATACTGCTGTGATCCTGGAAATGCCGGGCCATAACCGGTTTCTCTTGTGCTCCGTATTTTTAAACACAAGACTGGTCTCGGCGAGACCAACCTGTCCGTGCTGGCGAACGTCGCGCGGCTCGGGCAGCAGCCGCGCATGCCGATTATTGCGGCAGGGAACTACGATATTCCTCCCTCCAAGCTCCTCAAAAGCGGCTTCTGCCGAGATCTGGGCCATCAATTTTGGCTTCAGGGGGCCCTACGTTGTGCGCCAAAAAGACTACATCCTACGTCGGCTACTTCCTCAGCCCCAATTGTTTCAGGGAGTACGTGAAACCGCCTGCGGTTCTCAAGGATTACCCCCTGAGCCCGCGCAGGCCCGCCTACGCAGATTTAGACATCGGATCGCCTTTCTCGGTTCCCGTGGCGGCGAAGCCCCAGAAGCTCCCGACCGAGAAGCCCGTGGGGCCCACGAGATTTTCGGACGCCTGACACAGCGCCGAGTCCGCCCTGGGCCAGGTGGAAGCTTTGCTGGACCGGGAAATCGCCTACTCCGCCCTCGACGCCGCCCTGGGCCAAACCTGCCAGACTATGACGTCGGACCTGGTGGGCCACCTCAGCAAAATCACGGGCGCCCCCCGTGGGTCGGGGCGTCTGAGAGGTCAGCGCCAACAATCAAATGGGTGCCAGCGCGAGAAGCAGCAGGGCATCACAAATGTAATTGGCGACCCTTTGCTGGTTGTTTTTACGTTGGCTTGGGAACGAGACAACAAGATAAGAGCGGTTTCCAGAACCTCGATTTCCAGAACGCCTCTGGTGACCTCCAGAACCAGCCGGCTGTTTTTGGCGAGTCTGAGGACCCGGGAACCCTTCTGAGACTGGTAACAGCGACGGCCCAAAGACCCTGCTAGACCAAAGCAACAACCAGCTCAATACGGCCGTGGCCCGCGACTTGTTCGACAAACTGTTCGAGGATGCAGCCGAAGCCCTCGATGGATAAGTTCAGAGACAAAGCTTCCGACGCGGCAATATGGAGAGACTGGGTCAACACCACCATGCTTAGAGGGGTCGGTTGGGGCCGCATGCGGTTTAAGGATTTCAGCGCATGGAGGTCTCAGGGAGTTTGGGCGCCAGGCGAAGGCAGGCGGTCAGGCCGACCATCAGATCTCACGCGCCGAAGCTGGTAGACTAGCCAGTACTTGGGGCGCCAAGACGAATAAAAGCCGTTTGAAATGGAAGAGACCCACCCCAGAGGCTCTTGCGGAGCTCGAACCCATTGCTGCCGATCAAATCCGAGAGGCCTCCCAAAATTTCAGCCATGACACCGCTTCGACCTACGACGGCGCTCACCCGAGGCACTTCGCGCTGTTGGAGCAGCCCGAGCTTGAGCTCATCGCCCGCGTCCTCACTGCGTGCGAGTCCGTCGGGGCCTTCCCGGCCCAGGCGCGCGCAACGGTCAACGCCCTGATCCCCAGGCATAAGCAGCGGGGGGGCACCGGAAACCCCGCGCGCCGAGGAATAGGTTTGATGACTGCTGTTTGGAGGGACCGTGCCAGGATCAGACAGCCAGTAGCCAGGCAGTGGGAGCAAAAGAACAGAAGGCCTTTCTTGGCCCACCAATCGGGCCGAGGGATCCTGGAGACGGTTATTTTCCAGCGTTCCAAGCCGAATCAGCCCATTGTGAAGGCGTCCCGCGTCTTACCGCTGCCATCCTGTGGGGCCTGTCGAACTGTTGCGAACGAAGAAACAGAGACACGTGGTATGTCAGAGCAGTTGAAACGGATTTCAAGCAGGCCGTTGCAGCCCTCATTTTCATCGGCACGGAGGGCCCAGGCTTGTAGCGAGCCAAGGCCTCGCCATTTTCGTTGAAGCCAGCGGTTGGGAATGCCAGCGGGGTCAAATTTCTCGTCCAGGTGTTTAGCCTTGTCCAAGGCGAATGCAGACCTGCGCGTGTTCATGGGTGACCTCCTCCTCCAGTCCCAAGAGAGCCCCGAGAACCTAGTGGCCAACCTCTCCTCCTCCGCCTTCGCAATTAAAATTACAATCGACGTCGACCCTGGGTGTAAGATCGCCGCGCGCAAGTCGGCCGTCCTGGTTTCGACGAGCCTCGTTCGAAGAGGACTCGTTCGCGCTCTCGGGGACCTTGCAGGACCTCGAACAGACAAGCGAGTGGACTCGGCCGCCAGCCTAGGTATAGATCACACGGCAAGCGGAAGGACAAGGACGGGAAGGGGGATGACCGCACATCGCTCGCACTTCGCCAAGCTCCGCACGCGCGAGCGCCGGATGATGGCGCTCAAGCAGGCGGGCGCTGACGTTCACAAGCTGGACAGAACAGGCCTGGGCCAAGCAGATCATTATGGGGCCGGAGTCGTCGGCCTCGCCAACTCGGAAGTCACCCAGGGCCTGAGTTTCTACTTGGGCACCGTGGGGCCAAGAAGCCGAACGAGATCCCGAGTTCTGAGCGCATGCCTCTTGGGAGGCCCGTCTTGGAAGGCCGCTTTGGGGCCTGCTATGTATTGCGGGCGTTTGGTTTGGAGGGTACGCGCCCAGCCGAGACTGATAGGCGCGGCGCGCGCGGAATCCCATACTAAAGTGAACGGCGCCCTGAGAAACCCGCCGAAGAAATGGACTTCGCGCAGAGGGCCCATAGGGGGCACCATTCTGAGCCTCAAGCGGGTCAACTGGGCCCCCCCGAAACCCATTCGAGATGGTGACCTCCGAGGGCCAGGAGATCCAGCTCACAATGACTTCCCCCGCGCTGTTGAAGCATCGCCTTAAGGGGGCCTGGGCGGCAGACCTCGAGGCGCGAGCCGCTGCCGGAATGGGCCGGGCAACTGATGGGTTAGACGTCGCAGCCGCTCAAAAGCGAGCTTCTGACGCCCCAAGATGAATCATATTTGGAAGGGTTCCCCCATGCAGCTCCCCTAGCCCAAGGCTTCCAGTGCGTCCCCCCGCAGTGGTCCGAAGGCCTGAAGATTTCGGCTTCTCCTCAGAGCTTTGGCCCCGAAGCGGAGACCCTATGGCCGTGGCCATGGCGGGGGGGGGTTTTGCTGGCGGCTCCTGCTTTAAACAAGGTCCAAAGCACTGGGAACCAGACTGGCTGGGCCGCTGCCGTTCTAGATTGGAGCGGGGGCTGTCAGGCGCACCTCTCGGGACAGACGGGAGCACTGCTGCCGCCTGCCTCGCCTGCAACCGGGCACGTTGCCATGGCAGTGGCACACATGTGTCCAAGCCTCACTGCCAGTCATTCCGACCAGATAGGCGCCATCCGAGAGCATGGCAAACATCTTTTCGATTTGGAGAATAGGCATGCTGGGTTGGACTTGCTGGCGAGACGTAAACGTACTGAAGGGGCCCTTCCGCGCGTTTGTGAAGTAAAAGCCCAGCAAAATTTAAAGCCCCCCCCCAAACGGATCCAGGGGCGCGTTCCTGGCCATGGAAACGGCGCTGCCGATGGGCTGGCCGAAGCTGCTGCCAGCAGGGCGGGGGGGCCTTCCTGGGCCGAAGTCCAGGCCTACGAACAGAGCCAAGGTTTCCTTTTGCGGTTTCTGCGGTTTTTGGCAAAGGGCCTCCCGACTCGGCTCGCCATCGCTCCCCGGCCTGGAAGCCGAGCCGTCGAAGGGCCCAG